AACACAAATTTAATCATCTCAAAATGTAATTGAACAGATTGATGAAATGTAGAACTGAAAGAATCAATAAGGACATATTACGAATCTATACATGGAGGGATTTTCAAAAACAAAGCCTTCCAAAATCGATCTTACTTATCAACTCTTCTCGTATTAATAAGTTCTTCGAGTAAATGAAAATCATAGTTGTGTTTTCATTAGTTTGGTATATTAATCAGTAATTCAATATTATTGTAAATCTCTACCATTAGAGTAAGTTTAACCTTTAGAAAGTTAATTTTCTTCAAATACCTCTACTGAAATCATGATCCTGATGAGAAAAAACCATGGCAATTGTCAAAGAAATTACGTTAAATGGTAAAAATTTTCAGGTGACATTGACTTACAGGCCAGCTGTTATATTAACAACTGTAGTTTCCGAAATTTTCAAGTGTTTCCAGTAAAATATTGATGACATATTTAATCCAGGAGTTTTTAAGCTCACATAAAATACCATACAATAAAGGCAATGAGTCAAAGATTTTCTATTTGATGTGTCCCACTTCAGTACAGTAACAACAATTCTTTGTTTGATTCTTCGTCGTTTTTAAAGCTGAAATGTAAACTTATTATTAAAATTGTTTTCTTATTAAAAAGCAAACCATCACAAAAAAGTAATTAATTATATTTTCGTCCTGTTTTCTTATGTTTATTTATTTTTTCGAAAAACGGTGTCTTTACTCTATATCCTGCAAAAATAAATAAAAATGTTTACCTAAGGTAAATTAAGTTATTTCTGTGTGAATTGAATTTATTTGTTTAAATTTTTCGCCGTAAAATTACATTGTAACAATACTCGTTAGCTTTAACTAAAAAAAGTATATTCGCCAGAAAGTAGGATAAGATCTACTGGATAAAAGTGAAATGGTGATAATACTTATTAATCCATGAATCGACTAGTAATAGTGAGCTATCACACGAGAGAGTCATATTTGTAAGTGACCTTATTAAGTCACATCTGTAATATGTACCCTATTTCTTCACAATCAAATTCAAACATTGAATTGTTATCGAATTAGATGGGGTATTTCTAGGCAAGTATAGCAATTCTGTATATCATAATGACTAGCATATAGTTGACTGAAAAACTTTGATAGCAAAAACAAAACATCTGCCTACTAATGATCAGATTAAAATTGTCATTCACTTGATTTTAGCTTATGATAAAATAGTTTTACATCAATGAATAAATTCTTCGAAATTTGTATTCACAGAAGTTTCAATTTTCTTCAATATTCACGTTTAACTTTAATTTTTTTAAATTCATTCGTTTAATTGTTTTATCAAAGCCATATATATATATATATATCTGATTAATTACGATAACTATTGAACAGAAGTTAGAGTGAGACAGATAATGAGGTGTTCAATTCTCTTATGATTCCGAATGTGAACTTAACGAAATCAAATGGTTTTTTGCAACAAAAATATACAAGAAGATAAAGTCAAGAGGGATTTCGTTCGTTATGGCGATATGTATCACACAACTGACACAAAATTGAAACCCGGATCATTGGCCTGAATGAATGAACAGAACTTTTCATTAACTCACGTGTCTAACTGAATATTCATGGTTAAACTAATTATTTAGTCAACAAAAAAAACAACAACTAAAAACCGACAGATCAAAAATTCGATTGCACGCAAATTAAAACAAGTGAATAGAAGCTTAGTTTAACTTTCTCTTCTTTTTTATATGCAATGAAGAAAAAAAATCATTGGCAAATATAGAAGCCAGGTGTTTCAATGTTTTCGTTCATTTCCTTCTCTCCCTTTTTCTCTATCCCATACTTATAATAAGCTTTTTCTTTGCTTGCTATAAAACTGCCTATCAATGTCAAATTTATCAGTTAATCAATAGCATATCATAAGATTTGTTTCATTTAAAGAGTTTTTAATTGTGATAGGATCATTGTGTGTGATTTATGAAATAATTCAAAAATAATCATGGTAGATGATGATTTATTTTTTAGTGATGTTACCAAAACTTAGAATATATAAACAATAGTAGACTTGAAACAGAAAGTGGAGTTAGATTTCTTGTTATTTACGCAAATAATTAAGCTGTTTTACTGAATATGATGAAGTTAATCATCATCAATGAGAGGACTGTTAGAATTCTAAAGTCGTTAGAAATCTGTTTCGTTCTTGTTCAGTTTAACACTGAAGAACTTACTCAAGATTCATTATACAAATATAATAGTTAAATATACTATTATGATGACATTTGTCAGCACTTTTTCAAACGCGGGATATACCAGAATGCGAAAGTTAATACAAATAAATCATTCTAAATGACTGACAAATATGTACAAAGTCCAATGAAAACATCTTATCAAAAAAAACACTATTATACAATTGTGGAAAATAGCGTTAACACAACAACACAATATAAGGACTTTAATATATGGTTAGATTTTGTATGATATATCTGAATGGTATATTTCATTTTGGTTGAATCCAAATATTTTTTTTTAAATGTGACTTACGATTAGGACATCGGACTCAACATTTTGTTTTGACCATTATCTTGTAAGTTGTCTGAATAGATAGGATATTTAGTAATTATTATCGTCCAGAAAATATAGGATATAGCTGGTTGGCGGTTAGTCAGTCATGATATGTTAGCGAAATTTATGAGTGTTGTGTGTATAAAGATTGAGATTTGGAACTTCCATTTTTTATATACAAATAAAGATCAATAAGACCAGATGTATTCAAAAAAATTTCTGAGACGAATAACACTATTTCAGTGAATTCATTTCATTTCTATCTTATTTAAAAATAAAGTATCATTCAGCCAGTTCATCAAAAGATCTGTGTATTCGGTTTACTTTCCAATTATTTTCGATCACCTTTTTCAGAGTTTTTAGTAAAGAATATGGACAGTTATTAATGATTATCCAGTCAAGTATTGAAATCTGATACTTAGTGTTTAGTATTATCCCACCATCTCAGATGTCATATATTAGTGGATAAATTGGATTCTTATTGATAAAGCACTCTGCACATCCAATGAGGTGATTTTGTCGTTCAAACGTACATAGTCGACAGAGGTATGCCAACTTTAGAAGTCATTTTAAAAGCTATTCTGAGTTTCAGATTTCGTACTAAAAGATTTTCTTGGACTAAACATATTTAAACAAGATAAAACCTGCTACAGCGATGGGTAATTAGGTACAATAAAAGATTATAATAAAAATTTGAGCATGACATATTAACTCTGTAAGAAAAAACGCAATGAGATATGTAATATAAAATTATCAAGCACACAATAAATATATTTTTTTGAAACCATGAATCTATCAATATTAGACAACCATTAGAAACCTGGGAGCACTGGACGGCCGTTTCGTCCTGGTATGGGACTCCTCAGCAGTGTGCATCCACGAATCCTGCACCCCGCAGGATTCGAACCCAGGACCTTCGGTATTGTGCGCGAATAAATATAGTTGATATTTGTATGGCTGAACTTAAAAATTAATTACTGAAAACGAATTTACACTATACACAAATTTGATTGCTTGAAATATGCATATCGCACAATATGTTGAATTTAAAATTAATTTAAATATATTTCTGATAACTAACATAATACTTAAATATGGTATAGTTTTCAATATTGGTTTACCAATTAGAAGTAATTTCATTTTTAATAAACATTGTATAAGTTAAGCAGTACATAAACTCTACCAGAAATTATTACCAAGTGATTTTATGCTGTTTATTATATTTGTTTTAGCGAATATTCGTGCTTAATGAACTCTCAGAATTCTAAGATCGATTGTCATAACTAACTAGTTTGACTACTAATAAATGATGAGGAAAGTACAGATCAATAGATTTTAATTCACAGTTTTGAACAACATGATATACTTCAAACTAGTACGAGTTCACCTCACTCGGTAAACGGAACGAAGATCAACGATACAATGACACGATAGGCTATTCTAATCCATTTGTCCCAGGCCCAGCTAACTAGATCAAGAAATCTTGATAAGGCGTAGAGAATGTATTCTACAAGCACCCAGAAAATACGAGGTGTCTAAGCACACAAATCAAGCTTATTTATACAATGATAGAAACGCGCTTGGGAGAGCCACAGAATAGCTTACTAAAATAATCCATCAACCAATGATAGTCAAGAATTTTCTGAGTGAGAAATCTAAGCTAAAGGTCAACTTGACATCTCTGATGCAAAAATATAGAAATTCAAAATTTCAGAAAAAAAAATTACAAAATTATAAATTTTCGAAGTGAGTTCCGGAGATCTAATGTTCCATCACACAACATCGTGATCATAGCCTAAATTATGCAAAGTGTTAACAACTAACGGGTTCTAAGTTAGGACGAAACATCGGTTCCATGTTGCTTGATTTTCTGTGCTATTCATGTCGGTATCAATTCATAATAAAAATACTGTTTAAATCATTAACCAATTTTTAAATTAATTTAATTCCGAAAAATTATTTACTATATTTCAAAGATTTTAATAAATCCTTGTCAGTTTTCTTTTCTTTTCCAATACATTTCGAGTAAATCGTCTACAGTATATGTCTATAGCTTTTATCGAACTAATGGATATGAGTTTCTTACAGTTTTTATTGGTCAGAAAGAATCAGTTTCTTCCCTCTCAAACTAAAATTTTAGAGAAGAAAAATTCAGTTATATGAAGGGTCATATATTATTAGCTAACCAATGAGAAAAAATCTTCTGTATCTCATTTAGCCGTATACCATTTGTTTTACGGAAAAATTAACCAATTAAATTATTCTATTATATATTAAAAAGAAGTTTGATTAAAAACGAAATCAATTGTCATCAGCATTATTTATGACAATGAGTAAAATCCTTTAATTAAAGCTCTTTTTGTCGTCATTTTTAAACTAAAACGCTTTCTTACTTGATTTATGTAAATCACCAACGATTTAGTCCATATTCGTTTGTGGAAATAAAAGCAGATGAACGGATTTACTATTGATGCTATTTTAGGCAACCAGATTGTACAACAGAATAAACTAACTTTAAATACTACAAACATGATTGATGATAATCATCACTTTAAACAAACTAACTCTTTCTATGAACATTCAAAAGTCAATGCAAATGTAAATGTGAACAGCATTTCAAGTAAACTATCATTTTTTTTTAATACGTTGCTATACATACTGTTATTATAACGGATTAATACAGTTCATCAATGTCTGTTTTCGTATAGGTTGATAAAAATTAAATATTAATTGGTCTTCGGTTTATTGATAAAATCATTACTGTTACTGTCGTAAATAACTTGCTGATGATTCGAACTGAAGTAATGACTAATGTTCTACTGTCTTGCTGGCATACTTATTGAAAATGTGAACATATTTTGGAAAAAAAGATAATTATTTGAATAGAGTCATGTTTCGACCCCTTCATCTCTTGGTGATAGGTTGCTGAAAGCAACAGTCAGGAAGCCGTAGACTTAGGTTTCCTGCGTGCTGAGACATTTTTATTACTGTCTCTGCAGTACTCATGAAACTAATGATTCATTGAAGGATTTGAACTCATATCACACTTTGTCTGTAAGAAACAATATCAATATTATAGACCAAATAAATGGAAGACTAATTACTTTTCATTATGGTATAATGGAGATTGTTGTTTCACATTGAAATCGTGAATCAATCATAGTTAGACCGTGGATACGCACTTCTGAAGGGTCTCATACTAAGATGACATGGTCGTCCAATGCTTCCAGGTTTCTGATGGTGGTCTAACAATGATTGATTCACGATTTCAATGTAAGACTTATTACTGACTAATGATAAACCAGCATAGTAGCCTCTTGTTATAGATGAAAGAAACATTTTTTTATGAGAAATTCCTTGTGAACTAAAAAACAATTAATTTCTCGAATTTTTCATTTCTTAAGATTAGTTATTATGGTTTAATATTGTAACACAATTGCTTATTCATTCTTTATCTTGATTATTTAATTTTTTTGATTTGTTTGAATTAACTCAAAATCCAATGTAAACTAATTGATAAAGTGGAATTAAAGTTTATGTTTATCAATAACAAACTACAGAATCTTTGGTTAACTTGAGAAACTTTAATTTTTTGTTTCTATGATTATATTCTCATTTCAAATTTAAACAAATATTCAAAATTTAACAAATATATCTAAACTATCATTCTATTACATCAAACTAAATTTATTAATTTTGTATTCTGGATAAATATTAAAACATTAAGTTGATATGCTACATATATTAATTAACATAAGTCGAATTACCATTTTTCTTTGATGTTTTGTACAATTCTGTTGTTTTGAGTACAGTTAAAACATTGATAATAGTGTATTTTGTAAAAATTCACCTTAATCATATTAAGATTTGAAATCCGAACTGTTGTCAAAGAATTTTATTCTAATTATTGCATTGAATAAGCTTAAATTTTCTTTTATTTATCAAGTGTCATGTTCACAAGTATAAGTAAATAAGACCAGTATTTCACAAGATTAACTATCTGGTTAGTTTTTTTTTTCTGTTTATTATACTAAATGAAAGTAAATTACATAATATAAGCTACTGATTGATTATCGCTTAGATCATCTGGGACATAATTACTTGATCGATTAATTTCAAATATAAAAGTGATTATGAAATTTTTTAAGAATATTTCAGTGTAATGAAGAAAACAAAATCAATCGATATTGTATTCATTTAATTGTTTCATTCATTTACAATTAATTACAGGTAAAAGGACAACAATTGAATCATTCAGAACAATCTTACCTGAATATGCTGCATTCAATAGACATTTAAATTATGATGAACTCTCAGAACAAGGTAAAAATAACAATACCGATGTCTTTGTGAATTCAAATAATTCTATCATTCAAAGTGATGATCATATGAATTATGGTCCACAGACTTATAAAAGTCGTAGTCCACGTATACCTTTTTCACGTGATCAAATAATTGGATTAGAACAAAAATTTCAAAATTCAAAATATCTAAGTGGATGGGAAGTGAAGCAATTGGCAAAAAGCTTAAATTTGACAGAGACTCGCGTAAGTAACTTTATTTAATGATAATTATCTAAATTTAAATGTACATAACAAAAAAAATGATTAACTTTTTTTTCGAATAAATTCTCTTCAAGTTCTACATAGTTAGTTATCTATTTAAATCAATAAACCAAAAAGTGATTAGATTTAAGGCAAAACGCATTGTTTAAAATTATAACCTGTGAATTTAGAATTGCTTGTTGAATAATCAATCTTTAATGTTGGGATGCTCAACATGAAGTGTTCACATTGATAAGTTTCTACGTGCAATGAAATAGTGAGATTAATAATCAGAACAGATATGGGATGAACGATAATGACGTAGCTACAAATCAAGAATCACGTAATGTATAGTATAACCTGAATGAGGTAGGAATTAGGGAGTAGAGGTGGATGATGAATAAATTAATAAAAACATTTGCAATTGTTATAATAATAATGATATCAACGATAATAATAATATTTGTAAATAAGTTGGAGTTATGAAAATGGGAAGGACGAGGTTATTTGAACATTAGTCAAATTATTATCATCAAAAAGATTTTAAGTAATTATACCAAAAGTTGGCCAAGTTGAAAGATGTGGTGGAACATATTTCTTCTGGAAACAAAGCTGCGGCTTTTTGAACCGAATATCGATTACTTCACCTATTAGGAGGATTTAGGTAGATTTCTGTTAACACGATATATTATTGTACATGATTGATCCA